CAATACCCACTTTATTCCACTTAACCAAAGTTAAGTGACTATGCCATAAAAGAACCCCAAATCTCTCCAATTCCCGTCGACAACAAGAAAAGAAAAGAGAAGAAAGAAAGAAAGAAGGAGAGGAGGAGAGGAGGAGAGGGAGAAGAAGAGAAAGGAGAGGGAAACCCTAGCTCCCTTCATTCTTAACCTTTTATCTTGATTCAAAAGCCTAAACCACTTAGATTCTTCCCCTCATCCTTAATCCTAGCTTGGTTCTTAGTGGGGAGTGGTGTGTTGTGGGATTTCTCTCTCCAAAGTTTCGACCCATTTGGAAAGTGGAGAGATTTGTTGGCTTCTACCTCCATGGAAGCTTGAGGAGCAACCTTGCCTTGTTGTGTGATCCATGGTGGTGAGTTTTCCACTCTCTTTCACACAAATTCCTTGAGTTTTGCATGATTTAGGTTTTGATGAATAGTGTTTTAGGGTTTTATGATAATGTGAGTAGATTGGCTATGTTCTAGGAAGATTGAGACTTAGTGTATGTTGTGAAAAATGCTAGGAAAGTTAAATAAACGGTAGAAATAAGTTTAGATTGTTATTTAAGCTATGTTCAAAATCTTGGAAAATTCATGCTTGAAATATCGAGTTTCTTGCATTGTTGAGCTATGGCTTGGATTGGTTGTGTTGATGGTGTCCTTTGTGTTTATAGGATTGAAGCAAGAGGAACCACATTGAGTGACCAACCATTAGTGGAAGCCATGGAGCTTGAGTAGCTCATTTGGATTGGGTGTGTTGGTGATTGGAAGGAATTACCAAGTTGAGATCCCAAGAAGGATTGTTGGATAGGTGAGCTAGAAGAAAGCTTGCAAAAGGAGGGAAAGCATTAAGAGGTAAACCTTTGGATCTTGGAGGTTAATCCCTCTTGTTGTTCCACCATTGCTTTTATGGAAGTGATGGTTTATGAATGGATGATTGAGTGGTAATGTTAGTATTATGGTATGTTTGCATTCATATAGTATTGTTGTGTCATTGGAGAAAGGGCCAATGGACAAGCACTAGGGGCTAGGTTGTATGCTTAGTGGAAAGGACTAAGATGCAACTGAAGCGTGTGTGATGATTTGATTGTTTAATTCTGTGGCCATTTGAATGCATGAGTATGCTGTAATTAAATCATTACTGTTATTGCCTCTGGATATATGATGCATTACATGCCATGTGGATACTAACCCTTCATGCAGGAAGTGAACTCTGGGGTTGGAGGAGCTCTCCAAGAACCCTGGGTTTATTGAGTTTTATCTCACCCCGTGTTGTGGGGCATCATTTCAGGTACGGTTAGAGGTGAGGTTGACAGAGGCAAGAAGCGTGAGTAGATGGTACCTGGAATATGATATTTTGAGATTCCTTACATGTAGAGATACCATGTATAGGACTTCTATTTGAAAGTCAATTGTCATATGTATATTATGCTTTATTGGATGGACTTAGCCTATGCTCATCTCTTTTGGTACCTCTTTTGTTGTTGAGAGCCAAGGGATTGAGCATAGTTATTTTGTAGCTAAGTCCCATGAATTGTAATTAAGACTTGTTGTAATTAATGAAGATGTATGTATGATGAAATGGTATGCATGCTTCTCCTAGTGTATGAGTACTTTGAAAGACTAGAATTCATGCATTGAAAGAATGATATGATTGTCAATTAGGTGAAAGAAGACCTCTAGGTTGAAAATTCAAGTAAAAGTAGAGATATACCATCTTGTTGTCTAATTTTCGTATTCTATATGATAGATTTGGATCCTTGTGTTCGCATGGAAGTTGTAGATCTTTTTCTTAGCTTTCCATAGAGACCAAGATTGTGTAAATTGGATGAGTAAAACTCAAGTTATGAGTAGAATACCATAGGAGGTCAAATTGTCCTGTTTTGGGTGTTTGTTGCAGAACATCCACGCTCTGAGCGTGAGATTCACGCTCTAAGCGTCAACCTTTCTGTTTGCCCACGCTATAGGCGTGGATCCCACGCTATGGGCGTGGGGGTCCTGGGAATTTTGCACCCTTTTCTTAGAAAATGCTTAACTTGAGCTACGGTGCTCCGATTTGAACGCGGTTTGAAACCACGCGTAGCTAATGAAAAATCCTATAACATATTAGAAATTGGAGGCCATAAAATTAGAATAGGAATTTCTTAAATAAATAAAGAATGGATGCGTTTAGTTTCTAAAAGCAATTAAAGTGGGACTTACAGTGATAATTCCACATATAGTTGAGTTATAATCACAATACAGGGATTGATTTAATTACGGAAATGGATTTTGAACAAAAGCTTTTATAAATAAAAAGGAAAAAAGGTTATCCGTGTTTTAATTCAATTTTGTGATTGTAACTGCGCATAATGTCGTACGTAATGATAACAATCCGGTTCTAGAACGGGGTGTTACAAATCTCATTTGGTTCCTGTTACATATGCTCCATGCTGTTCTGAAAGGGAGAAGAAGTAATCTAAATGCTAAAAACAATTATGACACTGTAAAATAAATACCATTGAGGAAAGCACTTGCAAACCAGCTGACTGAACAGTTCTTACTATATCATCCTCCCCTGTTTCTTGAGCTAACTGACAGAGTTTTGGGATAAAACCTTCTAAGTTGAACAGGTAAGTTCCATCAATCTGGAAAAATAGAAACTTTTGAGTCTCTAATATTGCTCCACTCAAAATTGAAATAAGATAAAAAGAAATCAAAGTTGCTGATCTATAAGTTCTATACAATAACTTAAAGTTATGTAGCAGCAGAAACAATAGTGTGACCAACCTGATTATTTACAAAATCAAAAAGAGTATGACATCCTATAACTCTTATTTCATCCTGCCGTGTTTGATCCAGCAGAGTGTGAATAATATCTAGCAAGCTACTAGCAAACAGCGGCCTATCAACAAACATGGAAGGAATAAATCCACCAGATAGTTTGACTTATCCTAATTTCAGGAGGTTAGGCAAAGACCACAAAAGAACTGCTTGTAAAAAAAACCACTCCCCATTAAACCCCGACTAGTGAGGGAGAGGTGAGGAGAATCCTTGTATGTAGCCTTATCCTTGTATATTTGCAAAGAGACTGTTTCTCGGATTCGAACACTTGTGACATTTCAGTCACAAGAGAACAATTTTATCACTACTCCATCCTCACCCTTTTCAGTAACAGCTATAATTACCACACAAAAAATCTTATGCTTTTTGTCACCCAACAAGAGAGACAGAGAGAGAGAACATTAGCAGGCTATAAACTAAAAAATCTCTGCAAAATTAGTAATATGTTGCTCGTGGTTTGTGTGAAGGAATAGAATACAATAGACTAGTATTAGTACAACTGCAGTGACAATCAGAAACAGAGTAGAAAACGGAAGAATTAAACCCTGCATCAATCCATTCAAAGCATATATTAATGAATCTACATCTGCTACAAACACAACAAGGATGATTATGCTTCCTTTGACATTACTTTCCACAATTAGTAATGTTAAAGAATGAACGTAACAGACAAAATTTTTATAATGATATTCATAACCAGTTATATCAAATGCTCAATTCGAAAATTCCGAAGGTTTTCAGCTTAGAGCTGTTAGCATTTCTGTATCAAACATTTCAATGAGGAAAACTGCAAGGAATTTTCAATAGTATGGGAATAACTCTGTCAGATCATAAAGCAACAAGCAATTAAGATACAATGATATCTGATTTTAGTTCTTGAAAATTAGAACAAGACTGAGTATTTCAATTAGGATGGTATCTTGGTAGTTTAGCGGATTCATGTTGCTAAGTTACTGGGATCAGTTTACTGTAAACAATTCAGATAAAAATCCTACAACCTGCTTCTATAATTTCAACAGATAATCATTTAAAAGATAATTATTTTCCTATAAACGCATTTCATGATCAGCAAAGTTATATCGGCAAATGCCAAGCAAGCACTACCCAAATAGACACAATGTATATACAGAGACCTTATTTTACTCACGCTTCTTAACCCACCTACACTCTCAGCAGGTGTTCATATCACATAGATGCCAGATCAAAGATATTCAAAACTAAGCCACTTCATATGCCCTCCCCACTTATGCCTCCTGTTATTTTCTGTAGCACTCTTGACTTTCCCATCTCTTTAAATATACTCTTGACTAAGTCCACCACCAAATGACTACATGAAATGTATCATTTCTTTCCAAATATCTCCTGATTCACTCAATTTTCATTTTTCCCCTTATTTATTTGATGAAAAATAGAAGGATAATAATGCAACAGATAACTAAAGCACAATTGATTATCTCTCTCCGTTATTCCTAGTTAATTACTTTCTGCTCATTTTTCTTATTCAAAAAAGAGAAGGTAAAATTTAAATGAGGACAACAACACTTCACAATGTGAAATAACCGTTAATTCATCATCGCACTTATCAATTATCTACCTGGGCTAGCAATTAATTGATGATAAAAACCACTCCCCATCAAATCCCAACTAGCGACAATATGGTGAGGGTAATCCTTGTACGCTACCTTACCCTTTCATAGTTGCAAAGAAACTGTTTCCCAAATTCGAACCCATGACTTTTCAGTTACAAAGGAACAAATTTACCACTGTTCTAAGCTCGCCTTCTTCTAGCAATTAATTGATGATATGATTGCTAATTGTTGCTGCTTATTCATACCAACAACTCATAAATGCCACATATATTTTGTACAGGTCAACCTATCACGTTGAACTTTCTCTTTTAATGGTATGGTGCATCTATCCGTTTTTTGTTTAGAAGGCATTTACATTAGTAAATTTCTAATTGGTTACAAGAATGAAGAAAAGCAATTTTCCAATGATGACAGAGAGAGAGAGAGGAGAGGGGTGGGAGTAAAAGAGATCATGTAACAACTAACAAATCTTTGAACAGACAACAAATGATTTAGGCATAATTAGTGCAAAACTCTTCAATAGACACATACAAAGCCATCTGAATATAAGAATAAAGATAGGATAGATATGAACTTACATTTGTTCTTTACAAGAAAACAGCAATTTCCTGTAAATGCACATGACTATTTTTGTTGAATGGAAATTCTCATTTCGCAGTTCCTTGTAGCACCTTTGTTCAAGGGCACTAGTTATCTGATCACAAATTATATAAACATAGTGATTATAGCAACAACCTTGGAGCATTCATAAACTTGAGCTTTTCTTAATTAACCAGCAGAACATTATGATTAAGTTACTGAAAAAATATGAAAAGTATTATATTAGATAAATCAAAGAAGGATAAAAAACCAAAAGAAAGGATACTAACAGAATTTTCATGATTTTCCCCATTTTTTTTCATAGATATCATTTCAAAATTTATCACGTGTTAGCATCTGAAAATTTTGAAATTTGTTGATTCAGAGAAAGAAGCAAGAAATTGATGGCCAGAATATACTTAAGTATCATACTAAGGAGAAACATTGTCGAAGGTTGAGAGTGATATGCATAAGAATGCTACTCAAGCCTAATGAAAATGTATGCCAATTGCCAAGTGAATTGTACAGTAGAAGAGAACAAATTGAGGATCATTTCCGGTGGCTACAACAGAAGTAAATCATGATCCCCCTACGTCTGTTCAAGATATGAAGCATATTTAGAATGACAGAGATTAGAAAATTACTGGTGTTTAAATGAAGTGAAGAAATGAATTTGGAATTTAAGTGAACGTAGAATACTATATCCCTTTTCAGTGTAACAACCTAAATGACCACAAAGCTTCTGATTTGATCTCCGTGCTTGGTATGTTTGAATATTTTACATCATCTGTTCACCTTAGGTGTAGATATAGACCTCGAATCTTCCAGATTTTTAAATTGTAGATCTTTTTCCTGTTTCTGAATATAGAATCCTTCCTCACATCACAACTTCCTTTTGTAAGTTTAAATCTGACTCCAAGGTTTACGTTTTTGATTGGAAAGAAATAGTTAATAGGCGTTATACTAATGATCTGCCATAGTTGCATAGACCACACAAGGCCTTGTCCCCATATGTCTATGGTATCAAGACTGGAAATGTGGGTAAGCTGTTTAGGATGTTTAGCATGCACTAAATTTGTCCTCCCACACTTTTCTTTTTCTTTTTCTTTTGTTGTTGAGTGGATTTATGCTCATTTTGCAGGTGAGTGGTGTGCATTTGATTAGAGCAGATTTCTAGAACTTTCAGTGCGCAGTTGCTGCAAACAAGTAAAACTTCTTTGGGATAGGATAGTGATACGATCCTAGTCAGCAAAAGAGTATTCTGTTAGAAGGTGCAACACATGCAGGGAGTGGAATTGATCAAGCCTAGCTGATGTGGCTGACATGGATAACAGAATTGGAGAGATTGTTGAGGAGGGTCTGGTTGGTTAAATAGGGTAGTGTGCATTGGTGTCAGGCATCTTGGAAATTGCTTGGACATGGAACTCTTGGGAGAGTGTGAGGCCTCTCAATTTGTCTCACATTATCTTTTCTTCTTCTTTCTGTATTTTCCATTGCTGTAATTGTCATTTCCATAGGAGTATACTGATACTGTCAATGTAATTTTCCTTTGCTGAAATACTATAATCTCCGGTTTATATCAATATACAGTTCCTGAGGTATTACTTTCCATATTTTCTCAATTGTTCTGTTGATCCCTATCAGATAGCTTTTCTGGCTTCTTTGTGGATTTAAACACATGATTTTTTATAGGATTTCTATGTCAAGTATGAGGTAATGGAGAGAGAGATCTTTTAAGCTGCTGTTTTACATTTCCCCTTTTCTCCTTTTATCAGCTTTAATAAGTTTTCCATATCATAAAAATATTTCTTATTTAAAAAGAAAAACATATTCATTTCGTAGAACTTAAAATAAAACATTATACCGGAATCAATCTATAGCGTCAATTCACAAAATATGATACATCAATATTTCTATGTACATTCATTGGAAAGGGTAAAAAAAAAAAAAAAAAATCTTCACCTTTGGGATGCGTAAAGGATTTCTAGCAGCATAATCACACAATTTTCCTATTTTCCTATCATTTGCCCCTTCCTCCTGTCAACTCATAAAAAATATGAAAACAAAATCAATAGGGCGCAGATTTTGTTAGACAAATAATAACACAAATCAAACATTTAAGTTATCTCAAGTTTAATTTTTAAATGTTAATTCAAAATGCAGACCACAACCATGTTTATGGATCTTTCAACTGGTATATATCATGCTTGTACATTTTAGCTACAGGAAAGAAAAGCAAGCATTTCAATTACAAAAACAAAGCAAAGTTGCAAACACTAAAAGGAAAAGCACTTGACACATGGATATCATGCAGCCTAGACATCTGAATTGGAGAATATTTGCCTGCAAATTCAGTTCCCTACTTTGAATAGCATAATTGAACCTTAAACTAACTTGAATTACAAATTTACAATCACTATAGGTCCTTCCCATCCTCCTCCTATTTTAAACATATAGCTCTGAACAAGCAACCACTATTGCCCGGACAATAAAACCACTCCCAGTGAAACTCAGACTTGCGAGGGAAGGGGTGAGAGAAATCCCTGTATACAGCCTTATTAATGTAATTTCACAGAGAGACTGTTTTCTGAATTCAAAATAGTTTTACTAACGCTCCATAGTATAAACAATTTTACCAGTGCTCGAGGCTCGCCCTCTTACTATCGCATTGACAATGTGAAATGATCAAAGACATTAGACATGTAAAACATTAACATAATAGCCAAAATTGCAGACCTGATGATTACGAGGAAGAATGTCTGCAATGAGCTTCTTGTACCTCTTCACAGGCTGTCTGGACCTTGCTCTCAAGGATGGACAGAAAAAACAAAGGGTACCACAAGCTGGAAGAACTTGACGCGAAATTACACCAGAGACAGCACTCATTTTCGAATTCTAATATCAAACAAAAATTGAGGGCAAAGAAAAAAAAAAAAAAAATTAGAAAGATTTTCAAGTTGGCTTGAAATTGTGCTTTCTTTCCCCTTCAAAACCAATGAGAAAAATTGGATTTTGCACTCCAACAAGGGAAAGAAAGGCTCAAATCTCAACTGGGTACCCCTCAAATTCAACCAACACAGCCTGCAAATAGCAAAAAAAATTAAGGGTATAAATCTGCCTGAGAAGGGACAATGTAAATACTAGAATTTGACATATAATTTAAAACAAAAATGTAATAAACATAGTTTGATAATTGTGCATAGGTTGACAACGTTTATTTTTTGTAAAATTCAAGGTGAGGAAAGTACCTCGTACCAATGTATGCAAGAGCTGAGAGGTGAAAAACCCTTTAAGCCATGGAAGATTTTTTTGTGGTATATTATAAGAATTTTATGTGCAGAGAATTGTTATGGTAATTGTAATGATGGATATGAATATAAATTAAGAAGGATTGGAGGAAGAAAGGGGAACATTGCAAGCCTGGCACCTGCAAATGATGCTTGAACATTTTCCACTATACGCAACGGTTTCTGGTGTTGGGTGGCCCCATTCGTTAGGATTTCTTTATGTTTATTATAATATTAATTATGACCCATGATTTATTGATATGGTCCCTCCCCTTGGACAAAGTAAATGCTAGCTATTTTTTGGGTTATATTTTATTTTTGAAATTATTGTATTTAAGAATATAGCAATTATAACAAGATGTAGTATTATGCGAGTTTAATTATAGAAAAATATTTATATTTTACTAACAAGCACATGTATCAATTAATATGGGTTGTTTCAATTTATCAAGTGACCTTAAAGAGAACTTTGTCACGTGGTTCTCCTTGGTTTCAATTTTATTTTTCTAACCTTAACTTCGTTAAAAATGTTTATAAAAAAAATAACAACTTACAGTTGCACGGAGTCGCTTTTTAATTTTTTTTAATGAACCTTTTACAATATTTAAAATATTTTCTTATACAGAAAACTTAATTATTCAGTTTATCTGTAAGAAAATCAGAAAAGAATCAGTTTGGTTTGTGTGGTTAAATAAAAAATAAAATCTGTTAGCGAATAATATAAATAATTAAAAAAATTATCACCTATTCTAATACCCTAAGATTTTTGATGCACTTACAGTTGGCCCATTACATATGGCTCAATCATTGATTCAGGAAGCTCAGAGTCAACCAGAATTGTGGCTCAATAAATATGCTTCAATTGTTAAAAGAAGCAGTAATTTAAAATATAAAAAAATACAATCAAATCCAAGTCCAAATGAAGTAGCAGATATGATTGTGATTTGTTTGACAAGAAAACAAAAGCAACACATTTGGCATGATTTGTGATCTAAGATTCGGAAGGTATTTTGAATGATTTAATTGCAATTATTTTATATATATTTAGAGGTTAATTACTATTATATTTATTTTAGGAAGTCTTATTATTTTTAAAATTTTGAATTTTGAATCAATTTGTAATTAGTCTATAAAATGGTGCTTAAGACTCTTGTTTTTGAAAGCTGGAAATGGCCTTGAAGGTCGATGCATGCTGGAGGGAAAAACAAAACTTTTTCATTGCGGAACACCCATGCATTCAAGATCATGCTTTAGGAAAGCATGATGTTACCTTGTTCGTGAAAACTCGTGATGATCAAGGTAGGTCTGAAGGGTTCAGACCCTCTAACGTTGATCCACACCACCCACTGCGTCTAGGTGCAAGAACTCCTTCTTGTGAAACCGCCAAGTGATCACTACAATAAGGCTTGCTAAGCGCACACTGTGTGAAGAGAAAGGCTAGGTAAAAGTGTTTGAAAGAGTGAAGCTTTCAATGTGAAAACTTCACAAAAGTGGCGCGGGAGAGGAGAAGAGAATGGCTTGGTTGGTTTTATAAAAACCCTAGAAGGAACATATATATAGAGGCGCACAAGAGGAGCCTATTTGTTAAAAACAAATCAGATTTTTAATCAATAAAAATCCCTTCCAAAAGGGCGCTCCATCAAAGAGAGAGAATATGATTTGTTGCAAATCAAATCTCATCAAATCTTGCCAACAACATCCTATCATATCTTTATGATATATTAGGTTCAAAACCTAATCAAATATCTGATCATAAATCATCATATAATCAGTTATATGGTGCGCCCCATATAGCCTAAATAATGACCAGATACATTTGAGTAGTTGCATTCAAACTTGAATCAAATCACTCAAATATTCTCCCAACAGATCGTATCTTCTGGAGCTGATTCTGATGACTAACCAATAGCCAAATCAGCACCCCAAATCTTCTTAGATTATGTCCAAAATATTTCCTCTTGATATGTTCCAACAAGATCTCATCTTATCCTTTTGTTATGAAACAACTTTTCATAGCCAATTCAAATTCGAATTTCAAACATTTGAATTCAAACTTTCAAACACTTAAATTCTAAATTCAAATTCAAATTTCAAAATTCAAATTTCAAATTTCAAAATTCAAATTCAAAATTCAAAATTCAAAATTCAAAATTCAAAATTCAAATTCAAATTCAAAATTCAAATTTTAAATTTCAAATTTCAAATTTCAAATTCAAAATTTAAAATTTAAACATTTGATAATTAATTTAACTAATTAAATTAATTAGTAATGTCTTGGACTATCCAAGCCCATTACTTAGATCCATGCGCCCTCCACCCTATCTGTGGAGTTCCAAACTACTTCTTGGGCTAATAACAATTGTTAGGCCCAATACCATTAATGCTAGAGCATCTAGACAATTAGGTGTTAGTGTGTGACCCATTAGGTCCAACATAGCCACTGACATAAATGGGCTTGGGCCCAATAAGCCCACAACCCATCTAATGACAACACAGAGCACTAGCAATGCTTTGTTGCCCCAGAACTAGTTAGATTAGTGACTTGATCATCCTATTGCACATATTTGGTTTCCGTATATATTTCCTTTCGTCTCGGTTACCTTCCCATAAAACCTACGGTAAGGAAGCATATCAACCCCTGCGGTTTAGGGTAAGCTTTATTCGAAATAGGGAATCTTCAATTTACAGACTCTAAAGGCAGATCATCTCATGATCTCTTTTACTATGCATAGATTCCCGAGTCCCTGTAAATGTCATCCCGATTTCTCCGGTTTACATATAACCTAATCTCTCACAGAGATTTGACGAATTCCTTCAGCTTATCACCCTAGCCCTGTGTTCTTTCAGGACAAGCCCAACAGTATACCTATGAGTCTCCATGTTTCAGGCAGACGAGGTGCACAATCAAAGCATGCCTTCTAAAACACAGTCTAGGTAATAACTTCTGGTCTTAGGAAAGACATACCCAAATATAAAGAGACTACTCTAATGATACTCTCTGTGAGAGTTCCTCGTAGAGTCTCTTTGTGGGTCTGTTCAGTGCGAGCTATACCCTTATAGGTCCACCCACGACTTTAACTAAGACATCTCCATATCTGTAGCACATGAGGTCTATACCTTGTATCCATATACAAGTAGATAAGTCGTGCTAGTCTTACCCGAGATTACTGACCCCATTCTCAGTATCTCTAGACTAGGAACATAAAATTAGGAACAAACATCCGGTATTCTTGAATCCTCATGATTGTGATATCATCACAGATACTCAAGAGATACCTATTTTATTCCATGGGGTTTATCAAGTTATTCATAATATATTAACATTAATATCGAGACAGAATTATGAAACAAGATAAAGAGTGCTTTTATTTATTTTCGACAATATTAAAAAAAAGGTCTACATCTATGTCCTTATTTAATCATAAGATTGTCTCTAGGACACCCAAATACTAACAGTTTTAGGAGTTAAATTTTGTTATTTGTTAATTAGAAATTGTGAACCAGAGGGTTAGTCTTTTGTGAAATCCTAACTTTCTATTTAACTTTTGGGTTGAAGTGGTTTTTTACATGGTATCAGAGCTTCCTTGACCACAAGATCACGAGTTCGATTCTCACTGCCCCCACTTTCAAGTGAAATTTAAATAAGCACAAGGTAAAGCAAAAAAAATTGGACATGTGCAATATGTACACTTCAAGTCCAAAGGACTCTTATGTGAAGGAATATGTTAGCGAATAATATAAACTATTAAAAAATATATCTCTTAACACCTTAAAATTTGGGGTTGAAGTGGTTCATCGTTATTTTAGCTTTTAAAGTAAGTTACAACTCATAATTTATAATTATTTTTAATTTAGTTCTTAAAAAATGTGTTCTTAATTTTAAAAAGAAATCTACAATGCTATTGTTGGAATAATTGGATCTATGAATGTGTAAGGGACCATTATGGTTTGGAATGTAATCAATCATCTTAATTTTTTATCTTTTGGGAAAAATGAATGTCCTTTTTAATGGACACAAACTTATATCCTTTTAGCAGGTTTTTAATTATGCATTTCGGGAATGCATAGTTATAATAATAAAGTTGTATTTTTTTTTTTCATTTTCTACATCAGTAGACAATTTCTGAAAAAAGGAAAAAAAATAATTTTAATATGGGATAGGATATTTTAACAACCAATTAGTGTTACTATCAATGTTACTATCAATCAATTTTACCATTAGATCGATTATGTTAATCCAATGGTTATATTTATTTTCATCTTTGTATGTTCATGATTCCCTATATTTAATGTGAAAGCATTAAATATGAAAAATCATAACCATACTAAGGTGAAAATAAATATAAAATATTAAATATGGGGAATAATGACCATACAAAGATAGAAATAAATATAACTGTTAGATCAACATAATCGATCTAACGGTGAAATTGATTGATAGTAACACTAATTGATTGTTATAATATCTTTTCTATTTTAATATTATAACTATGTATTTATGATAACACATAATTAAAATTGCTAAAAGGACTTGTATCCAACTTCGGTGAACTCTTTTTTGTTTTGTTATATAAAAGTACACTTCTTTTAGCGCAGATA